ATCTCCCCGCTGCGGACGTTGTTGTCCACAGTGCCTCCAAAGATGTACATGGCATCTTGAATTACAGCAGCAGCATGGAAGAGTCTCCCACTGGGCATCTAATGGGATAAAAACAGAAAGAAATTCAGCTTCTGTAGGGAACTGTAAGGCAAGCATTGCTTAAAAATCTGTCAGATTCGCTAATACATATGTATAAATGCATATCTAGCGTGGCACTGAGGGAATACGATTATGATGAGCACTAATTCTACTTAAAAGTATCTGCGATGTTCAGTTGAATCTGGCTGAAGCATAAGTAATAGCAATGAAATACAGAATGTCTCATGCAATATGGGATGAGTGGTGGAAAGTAGAGGTCAACAAAACATAACTGTGGTATCCTTTATCCACTTCCATGTCTATTGATACAGTTCTTTGTGAACATATGTGGTATATACCTCACTGTCCAGGCTTGGTTGGATCACCTCCCACGTCTGAGAGTCCACATCGTAGCAGTGCAGCTCATTGGGCAACGTGTTGTCAGCAGCACCTCCAAACACATACAGGTGGCGGTCGAAGGCCACCATAGTGTGTCCATAACGTCTCTGGGGAGGCGGAGGGGAGCCCCGCAGTAAATGTTCAGTTGGGATACGTGTCCACCTGAGGAGACGGAGCGATGAGTCCCACGTAACTGTACATGCAGGATGAGTGACTGAGGTGTGTAAGGAAAAACTTTGCTCACATGTGGCCTCTGAACTCAAACTGAAAGAGGTTGTTCGTTATCTTGGCTCCACTCTGACCAGAAAATACAAACATCTTATCCCTGCATACAGCTACTGGGAAGTTGCAGCAAGATGGAGGAATCTCGCCACTCTGGTCGATCTGATGGACACAAAGGCACAGATAACAACACATATAAAGGATTTCTGGGCCTTTCACTGAGAATGATGTCTTCAAATATAGAAATGAGTTAAACTAGCCTCTTCCCAGCATGCATGTTCTCGGTCCTGCAGGCTGATGGTCCACATGTCATTCAGCCTACACATAAAAATGATATCGGTTAAAATTCTGCATAAAACTGAATGTATGAATGTGACAAAACAAAAACATTAAGAAAAGTACCTGGCATTTCCATCATAGCCAGCAAATATCCACAGTTTATCACTATAGACTGTGGCCCCATGAGCAGATCTGGCCACTGGCAAGCTAAAACACAAACAGAGGAATGATAAATATGAGTGCAGCTTATATGCAAATCTATCCACGAAATGCAACTTAAGAAGAAAAAAATAAAAATGCAATACATTACCTCCCCTCCACTTTCCATTCAGTCCACTGTCCTGTAGCAAACTTGTACTCAAAAAGGTCATTTTTGTTTTTCAGGTTTGAATTTGAGTAGATGTCTCCAGTGTAGCCCCCTGAAATACATCACAGTCAAACATCATAGCTCTGAAATAGGCAGAATGAGTTGTTTTTGCATAAAATGAGCTTAAAGGAAGTTACCAAAAACAAACATGCTGCTGCCGTAGACCACAGCTGAGTGGTGATATCTGGGGGCGGGTGGAGTTCCAGTGGTGAAAGCTCTGCGAAAAATACATTATATAGTGTATAGAAGTGTTAAATCCCATTTTACAATCTGTGTGTATAGTTGTTATGATTGCTTTGTTACAGAGGCTGCAGTCAATTAAATTTAATTCAATTCAATATGCTTTACTGACACAAATTACTGGCTAACAATATTGCCAAAGGATCACAGATGGGGTAACGCAATAAATGAGAAAATTAAAATGAAAAAACTATTAAGTTAAATAAAGACAATGAATAGGATTAGAAAAAGAAAACAACTCTTAATATAAATTTTCTGTGTGCCATGTGGATAAGAGGCTGTGTCAATATAATGGTTCAAATTACACGATGTTGTCATCTAGTTCTGTGAAGGTTGGGATTTACAAGTCAAACCTTTTAAAGTATTCCTGTTCTATGTTATTTTATTTGTGACAGTGTTTTTCTGTCCACCTGTCCAGGGTGTCCCCTGCCTTCACCCTAAGTCAGCCGGGATAGGCTTTAATCCAAAGCGCTTTATAATCTGTTTCTCATTCTCACATTCATAGATTAATGGTGACATGGAAGGTGCTGCCTGCCACTGGGAGCAACTTCGGGTTCAGTGTCTTGCCCAAGGACACCTCGACTGTGGAGGGTCCAGGGATCGAACCGCCAACCTTGCGATTGGAGGACCAAGCGGTGTCTCTGTCCTGCACTGACCACAAACTGTTTGTTCTGTTCTGTATCACCAGACTGCAGTTCCTGCATCTGGATTTGCTCAGAATCTGTCTCTGCTTTGCATCTCTGACAGTAAAGAGATATTCTACCAATTCATAACAGTATAAATGGTTTACAGCCAGACGGTAATAAAGTTAGTTTTGAGTTTTGGCTTGATTCCTTCAATACTGCAGTAAAGCATCTTTTGTTAATGTAATAATGTGGTTGACTCTGCTTAGTGGTAGGAGAGCAGCTCTGGTCTGAGGCTGATCACTGCTGAATGACATCTGATCAGTAAGTCTTAGGGCCACTTGACAGAGGACACTTTAATGGGGGTTCAGCTCAGGGTTGGTAGTGCCTTAGATCTCAGTGTGTCTTGGGGGCTTGATTTTATTTTACTTTTTTAAACATTAATAATCAGTGGGTAATGGCATAATTCTGGCCTGCGTGCACTGGTTGCTGTTTTCCTTTTGATGCTTGTCAGGGACCTGCAGACTTCTGCATGCAGGACCTCTGTTTGTCCCAATAAGTGTTGTCCTGATGACTGAGTGGACCCTAAACTTCACTAACATAGATGGTGATTAGTTAAATTACACTGTACAATATTTAATTGGTGGTATGTCTATTTTAAAAAACTTGTTTTCTGATTGTATAAACTGATATTGCTTCAGTCTTACCGACACCAGGAGCAGTCCTTCACATCAAAGCGGAGTAAATCATTCAGCATGTTCTTCCTGTTGGGTGACACAGAATTGAAACAGACTGTATGTAGAGTACAGAAACAAATCCTGCTGTCACCCTGTGGCAGTACTCACCCATTGTCTCCCCCAAACACATATATGGCATCCCTGTATGCCACCACAGTGTGCTTGCTGCGCCTGTGTAAAGCCACATGAAGTTCATGGTCAATAACAGACAGTAAATATTCACATGTAGTTATGATGCTTCTTCTTCTTCTTCTTCTTGGTACCTTGCACCAACAAACTCGTCACACGGAGGGAGTCTTCTCCAGCGATGAACTGTCTCAAAGGGGCCGAAGTTGAGCGTCAAATACTCCACGCTGTCCGAGCAGCTGTGATCGAAATCAACACTCGGTGCCACTTTGGTTGATTTGCAGGACATTTTTGCTAACTCATCCGGCTGAATCAGTTCTCATGGACATCTGCAGGGACGCCCTCAGCTAACGACATCGCTAATGCCAGTCCCCCAGGGTGAGAGCTAATACTTCTGCCGACTCTAATTCATTCGCTGCACTGCTGTGACCCACGTACATAACATCACAGTCTGCTTTGTTTAGGTTACAGAGTGCGGTCTTCCGGTTAGCGACTAGCGGTGCTAATAACTAACATTAGCCGCATAGCTAGCCGTGGCTAGCTAGCTAGTTAGCTTCGTGCTACTGCTACACTACAACACAAGCAACAGTTACAGCGAATGTAAAAGTTAAAGGCTGGCTGCTAACGATAAACCAAAGTATCCGCTTAACCGGTTTAGTACTTCAGTCCTGGTGTGAATACAAACGGAGTGAGCTGGTAGATAAGCGTTAGCCACAAGAACTAAACTAGCAAAACAAGAGTGCTGTCATTAAAGAGCACAGTGGTCCAACCACGCCCCCGGTGACTGCTGAGCCCTTCACATCCTGTAGGGCAATAAAACTAACGACAGGCATAAATGGACAAGACCTGTAAATCACAGAGTGTATATGTTGAGAAAATACTGTAAGTAGTTTTAGTCAAGCTGTTTATGATTTTTTCTATATATAAATGTTGTGATTGAATTGAAATAAATGTCAGATTTCTCATTTTAAGCTCCTTTACAGGTGTGAACTTTATCACAAAGTCTGAAATTCTCTGAAGTTTTAATGTTTTTTTTTTTTACAATTTGATTTTAAATCATTTTTATTAATTTATTTAAAGACTCCTAAGGTGCCCTGTTGGATTCAAGTGAAGCGACATACTTGTCCAGGTCACAGCTTTCACTTTACTCTCATTATGAAAATCGTGTGATTTTGGCGGTGTGCTTTGTATTGTGATCATGCTGGAATATTTCTCTTCTGTCCTCTTGTCAGCTGATAATTTGGTTTTCACAGGCGTTCATGGTACCATCTGTAAGTGTAATCTCAACACTGCTTCACAGTTAGGAGCTGGCATCCACTGTGGTAATCCTGGCCAGTTTATGCTTCACTCACTTTTCTTGTATGCTGTATCTTCTTCTTTTTTGAAAAATGTGAATGTAAAATTGTTTTCACTACCTTTTGGCTCCACAAAAAACACTTTCATGGAATTGACTATAGTCACATGTTGATGTAATAACAAGAAAACAATCTCATTTGTGTAACAAAGCATGGTTAACATTGTTCGTTCCACTGTTCCTGTTCCTGCTCCCATATGTTGATTCATCTACCATGTAAAAAGACTGTAAACAAGCTACACTGCACTTATTTTTGATGTAGCAGCATTTGCTTTGTTTTTTACTTTGCCTTGATGGAGCACATCACATATTGCTTTAACTGTCATTAGAAACAACAAATTGTTCTCTGATCATTACACTCGTGTTTTAGAGAAGTTAATTAATGATTGATCGTCTTAAAAGTCCGTCAAAGTGCACAGGTTCAGACGAGGACATTGGTATATCTGTACTGTTCTCTGTCACACTGATGTATTGGTAAACAATATAATACAAGAATATATATATTTTCCTATTTCCAAACAGTTGGAATTTGTTGACATCATGTGGTTTCTATAAAGAAGACACGCTCACCGTCGTTGGATTTTCCATGTTTTATTTTTACAACAGTAAATCACAGTGGATATAATTAGGATTTTCTAACACTGATAAACAAGGAATACTTTAATGGGTCAGTGGGGAACTGCTGTCACTTTGGTCTGTTATCCACAACCTAAGCTCATTTTAACCGGACAATCCTCTCTTATATTATTCATTGACCAATGCCACCAACACCAGATTAGGAAGGTGTGATTTAACTGAACAGAAAATAGTTTTCCTATTATTCCAAGACATTGGGAGGTCATATACATTCATACACAATAAAACCAGGAACAATCTTACTACCTATTATACATACAGTAATAAAGACAGTCACAGACAGAGAGGAAGCTGACAACTTTCTGAATTGGTCTTTTTCATACAATATTACATTTCACTTTATGGAGATTATCATAAATTGCTGGTAGCAATGGGGGATTGTATGGAGGACAAAATCAGTAAATACCAGGTAAATAAAACAATAACTGAATCTAATATTAAACACTAGAAACAAAATACTAAATGCATAGAAATAAAGAATAAATAATATGTGAAATGGAATTAAATAAGTGAGGGGTGTGGTGCATGGACGGGAGAATTATTATAGCTTTTATTAACTGAATTCCTTCTGCTGCTGCTGGATATGAGAGCGAGGCTGTGTAAACACATGTAGGTGGTGTTTAACACTGTTAGTCACTGTCATAGTACCTTTAAAGACATGTATTTACCTCGCTTGGCTGAAAATTCTTCTATTTTTTTGGCTCACTGTGCAAGTCCCACCACACAGTCAGTGTTCCTGCCAAAACAACTGGCAGCAGCACACGTTAAGAATGAACATTGTGATATCAGCAGAAAGAGGAGACTTGGCTACAAAGAGCCTTGGAGCACAAAGCCAAATTACACATTATATAGCAGTAAAGTCAACATATATCATAAAGTAATAACAAGCTAAGTAAAGAAATACAGAAAGTCTTTTTCTTCTTGATTGCATCGTGCTGCATTCGCTTTTTAATTATTCATTTCTTTGCATATTTTTTTTATCAGACCTTTTTTCTGAATGAGAGAAATGTTAAGATGCCACTGCAGGAAAAGCACATGTTTAATTAATAACATTAATGATGGCTGCATTTGATTTAGAAGCAGCAGTAATGGAGGCCCTGAAACAGAGTGATTGTTAATGTTATTAGCTGAACCTGTGTTTTCCTGTTATGACAAGTGTAAACATCTGCCATTTAAAAAAAAAAAACGATGGCCGATTTTGTCCTCCATAGACAGTAAAGTGGGATGTAACACTTACATTCACTAGTTTCACGTCTACATTTGAACCCTTAGAAGGGAATCAGTCTCTTTGAGTTTTCGGAGACAGACACCAAAGAGTTTGACATTATTTACTTCAAAGTGGCGTACCATTCTTTCCATGTCTTCAAACTACCTCGACAATTTGGCAGGGATGGCAACAATGGTTTCTTATTTCATTAAAGGGCTCATACAATTAGTCCTGAACGTCATGGTTCACCCAACTACTCCATTAGAACAAGCTCACGTCTGAAAGTAAGAACATTTTAATGTTTGAAAATTGACTCGCAAACAGACAACAACACTAAACCTCATCTGAATGTAGTAAACTGGTTCAGTATTTGTAGATTGTGAGGTCAACAATATGTTTTTTTTTTCTAAAGCACCCATCAGATAGATTACAGTGCATCGTCACATATAATGCAAACAAGTGAATCTGGATACGTTTCAACAAAATGAGACAGGGAATGTGACAGAAACGGTTTAAGCCACACAGTCACAGCTCTCTTCTTTTATTAGTCTTTCATAGTTGAATTGGCCCCTCTTGCTCACATGCCTGGTCACCAGTTGATGATATCTCGGATGTGGCCCCACAGCTTGGTGATCCACAGGTTCACCCCAAGCTCTGTTAGGTACTGAATCTCCGGCATCAACATCTTGCGGCACAACTTCCGATGTGCTTTGTCCACATTCTTCTTCAAGTTATAGCCCATGATAGACTTCTCTCCAATTGGCTGCCAGGGCTGCATGGCTGTTTCTTGGATGCTGCCAGCTTCCACAGCACGACCCCCCTCGATGCAGATAGACGCCATCTCCTTGTTCCTCTTCCTGAGCTCTGCCACGTCCTCAGCCATACGTCGGCGTCCATATGCATGTACTTTTTTCCAGAAAGTTTGGTTGAAATGCTGGTAAAGCTTCCAGTCAATTGCATTCCACTCAAGGGCCCTGGCCCTCAGCTCAGGGGTGAGTTTAGACACAGTGGATCCCTTGCGAGCATTGAGCTTAAAGAAGAGAAGGTCATCCATTTCCCAGCAGAGGGCGTCCTTGAGCAGAATGAGCGATTCCTCAAAGTATTCCACCAACATGACCAGCTGAAAACGGTCAGAGATGAACTTGATTCCTTCCTCTACCCGCGGATCGTCCAGCTCCAGAGTGTTGTCCTGTCCAAAGTCAAAGAACAGCAGATTCTTGAGGTAGAAAGAGTTGAAGCCTTCTGGATCAAAGTAGTTATTGGGGTCAAGTAGGAACTCGTTCAGCTTGTCATCACCTGGTATCTTCCAGGTAAAAGGCACCAACCGACCAAAGTAGTGAAACGATGACTCGAAAAGCTCTGCGGGGTCTCGCAGGATAGTGATGTAGGATGTGTCCATCGGCAGCAACTTGGCCACTTCAGGTGCATTGAAGCGCATGTGATTACAGATGATGTTGAAGCACATTCCAGGTCTGTAGTCTTTAACCTGGGAGCGCTGGAAAACAGACGGATAGAAGAAGTCGTTTCTGCTGTCAGGGAAGGCGAATTTCAGTCGGTGTTTCTCTCCAAAGCGGAAAAGAATGTTGAGGAAAGTGCTGCTGGCTGTTTTGTGGGTCTTCATGAACATAATATCGACTTTAGGAGCGCAGGTTTGGCCAGTGCTCTTCTGGGAACTGTTGGTGGTCGGTTTGTGGTGGAGCTGGGATGGTCGGTGGGCACAGGAGTAAGGTACTGGAACCCTACAGAGAGGAAAACAAGAAAAACATGAATGTGCATGTATTTGCAGAAGAAAGCTGATGTATGTTTTACATGATGGTTCCTATAGAACACATGTACACCACGTGTACAAGTCTTACTCAGGCACACTGAAGTGGATCTGTGGGGTGGAGAGGCAGTAAAGAAGGATCATGCAGCTGGTCAGGAGAGTTCCCAGGACCAGGCCTTTGCACATGGACCTCCACTGCCTCACTTGCTTGCCAGTCATGGTCCAGCAGAATCAAAGATTTCCTGAAAAACAGAGAACAAATCTCTCGTTCATAATCATTTTCACATTCATCATCACCCTGGTATGCATTTCCTGCCTGCTATCTGTCTGGACTTTCTTTTTTTTAAAATGTTATTCTCAAGTTACAAGAAAGCAAAGACTTCCATGATGTAACAGTTTCCTCAGTGTTCTCTGCTGGCAAGACTTTGAATGATTTATTGAGATGGCTGGATTGACATTTAATTGTAAAGTGACTCCACAGATTACAATCTTTGCTGTCTGGTTTCCACAGGAGTGGACACAAAAACATGAATTCGTTTCATCAGTGAAGCAGCCCCTTTCAATAACCTGTCACAGAGAGGAGCTGGTTCTTCTGAATGGTGACGGTGGGATCTGCTATTCACGAAAGGTTGTATTTGAAACAAGTTCCACCTCGATCATTCAAATTACACAACTGATTTATCCTTTTCCCCCCTTTTTTCCCCACAAGAAACCCAATGTACTAAGTAGATGAAGTACTTTTACTCTTGATGCTTTGTTTTGTTAATAATAACTTTCACTGAAACAGGAGAGGACATTGTAGTGTCAGTGTAATTAATTATGTATGCAGAAAATTGGATTTTTGCTTGTTTTTTCCAACTCGTTTTGGCTGATTGCAGATGCCGATACTAATATATGCACAGAATTTTTCCAGCTACTTACAGAACATCAAGTCTCTCCTGCTGAGGAATTAACATATAATGACTCTCATCATGGTGGCCCATGACATAAAATAAAATGCTTTTCAAATGTATACAGTCACTCTGCAAAAGAAAAAAAAAAACCAACAACTTCAACTTAGTTTTATGTAACATTTTCCAACAAAACTTTTCTTTTATCCTGACTTCTATCCTTCTGCCAATGTTCATTTTGGACTGATGCAGCCTTTATTGGACGATACCATTGATGATGCCGATATCATCGTGCAGCCCTAATCTGAATGCTTCTTCCACCACCTGTGGAACCGTGGAACAAACATCCTCCAACCTAAGAGTATTCACTCACACATGTCGATGAACTCTGACTTATTTTTCCTTTGAAAAACCCAATAAAAGCTGAAAGTAGCGTGTCCCCCATATGTGGGCTTTACCTTTATTGAGGCCATGCTGGGTCATATAATGCTGCACATTTCAGGTGGTGAGTGTTACTTCGTTATGTAGCTGAGTCAGCAGGTGGCTCGTCTTACTGCTGTCTGCAGGGGGGGATGCAATATCACTTTCCATGGTAGTGCATTATTTATTTTTTTTGGGCCAGCTGAGAAACACGGGGTTAGTCATTTCAACTCACAAGTATGTCATTTGGTAGCTCACCGTACAATTTGAGCTGCCCTGTGTTTAAACTGTCAGCCAAATGAAGTGAGGTTGACTGTGGAAGTGTGTCAAACGTACAGTGGGTTCATATCCACCAGCACGTTAAACTGTGCTCCACCTGATGTCAGCACTCTAATCTACAGAAGAACTCTTGTTGGAGAGCTGCCATGAGAGAATCACTTCAAGTTTTAACAAAATACCTGGTCACATGAAAGGACTCTGAGTCTTTCCTTCCCTCTGTGTCAGAGTTACCGCTGAGCCAAACACGTCCCTAAAAAGAAATCCATTTCACAAGAGTTTAGATGTTTGCTAAGATTGTTTCAAGGATGTTTGACAAATTTAATCCTAGTTACAAGTGGTAGATCCTTTCTTGCATTTCACTAAAAATACAGTATAATCCAATTTTAAAGCAACAGCTCATTAGTTTAGTCGAGTGGTTCCAAACATAGGGGTTGGACCCTTTCAAAGTGTCACCTGATTAATGTAGGTGGTCATGAGATGAACAACGGATAGGGAGAAAAAATTATTTTGAATTCTACTCATTTTTTTAGACTTTAATCTGTTATTTGTGTGTGTGAAAAAATAGATGAGATGTTGTTTACCTCCTTAACATCAAACAGTCTACAGTATTTATAGGAAATAGTCAGAACTTTACCATGACTGGTTTAACCTTTAATGATGCATTGTATATTTTAATTGCACGCTATATTCGAAAATCCTAATCTGCAAAGCAGGTTGCACTGTATGTAACTCTCAAGTGGTTTAAAAAAAGATCTGGAATGGCTGTTCTAAATTGTGCTTGTTTAAACGGTCTATAATGCAGTTTAAAGTCCAGTAGTGTTTGGATAGAACACCAGGATGAGTGTAACCCTCTAATGGATTTGTATTACTGGTTCAGTCTTTGCCCCGATGCAATGTAACGAGGAACTACAGCTTTCAGATAATACAGTAAAATAAAATACAGTGTTTTTCTCCCAAATGTAGAGAAGTACAGGAGCCTTAAGTACTTGAACAGTACTTAAATGATACTTGAGTATGTGTACTTTACACAACAAAGTAAGACAAAGAGGAGAGAGAAAGTGATGTACAGATGTTGGTCTACATCACACACAGCAGAAACCTGCAGCTTCACTGATCCACACTGACTTCAAAAGTTACTGTTTTTCACCTTTGCCAGTGGTGTCTCCACCTTTGACAGTTTCCTGTTGTGACAGCACTGAATTGTCTGTTACATGCTGCTGCTTTCAAGAAGCTAATGAATGTTGTGCCAACAGTGTTTGGACGCCAACTTCCTGACTTACTGTCACAGCTCTGATGCCAGCGTTGTAAAAGTCAGAGCAAACAACACATCATCCTCTTATAAGACATGACAGACGCTCATTTCTGTTGATGTGGTTATAATAGCTCATATCAGTTCTCATCACTTGTTAATGAGTTTTCCAGATCTAAAATACTACGTGGTCACATGTTGGAAATATATGATGGAGAATAACAAACTGTCACAGTGACCATCATGTGTTCTTTGATTTGAAAAGCCCTTGTAATGTTGTAATGCCATCCATCCATCCATCCATCCATTATTATACACCGCTTAATCCTCACTAGGGTCACGGGGGGCTGGAGTCTATCCCAGCTGACTCAGGGTGAAGGCAGGAGACACCCTGGACAGGTCACCAGTCTATCACAGGGCTACACTTAGAGACAGACAACCAAGCACACTCACATTCACACCTACGGACAATTTAGAATCACCAGTTAACCTCAACATGTTTTTGGACTGTGTGGGAGGAGAACCCAGAGAGAACCCACTCTGCACGGGGAGAACATGCAAACTGTCCTCACTGGGACACGAACCGGCGAACTTCTTGCTACGAGGCAACGATGCTAACCACCGATCCACCTTGCAGCCCCTAATGCCGTACAGATCTTTCAAATAAATCACTGCTTTCAACTGTATTACTGTTAGGAAAATAAATGTTCTGCAGTAAATGATTGAATTTTGAACAACTCATTGAGTTATTATTACTATACTAAGACTCATACCGAATTTTACATGAAGAATTTCTATTTATTAATTAATTCTTGCATATTTACATTATTCCTCCCTTTCCATGTGTGTAGTGTTTAAAGGTGGGTCAGTGATCTACTATCTGATATGTTTGGCACATTTCTCTTCCTTTACAGTTTCAAGGTTAATAATGCAATACAGCTATAAGCTCTGCATATGAACTCTAACTGTGATAGCCAGACATCATTCCAGTTTCGACTATGGTGTGTTTTTGTGGTGTCCAGTGTGTCATTTATTATTCATTTTCGGATTTAGACCAACTTTGAATTATGGCTCGAGGTAAATCTCTTAAAGTTACTGTGTACCTGAACAAATGATAGAGTTAACGTTCAGTCTTATCATCAGAGTATTGTACAAACATTACTCTCCAAACACAGCTAAAATACTGATTTCTCCTCTTTGTCTGGGCTCTGTGAAGAGGCTATTATGGAGGCATGTTAGAGAGCTTTCTCTCTGCCATCCGAAGCAACTCCGATGGGAGACATTTGAGGACAAGACTAGTTCTGGTGAAGAAGTGGAATAATTTCACCTGGATATGCCTGAAAAAATAAGTCAAAACCTGACCTGGACAAATAAACAGCAGTGTTATTTTTGAGGGTACTTGATGTCATTGTTTGCTTAAGTTTTGTCCAAAAAGTGCCAAATAACTTCAACATATGTCCAGGAAGGAGGCATATTAGTAGAATCCATGCACTATGCTGAACGTTCTGATCTACTTGAAAGCAGGACTAAATAAAGGCAAAAGTCCATATTTAAAAGGCGTAACTGACCCTGAGCTTTGCATGGCTGCACACCAAACCCCAACCCATTGATTTTTTTGTTCTGCTATAATAAAGAACCAAATAGATCAAGACTCAATTAAAAGTAAACATTGCAAGATTTAGGATTATACAGAACGCTTTTCCTTTCACATTTCATGTCCAACAGGGTTTCAAAGAATAACAACCTAATTTTGTTTTTCCTAACATGTAATAATAAGACAGTTAAAGCACACAATAAGTACATTTTGGAGAGGAAACATCTCATTGAAAAAAGTAAAGACTTCTTACCCTCATGCATGAATCCGGAGAGCAACTAGTCTAAGTGTGTCTTGCAGAACTGCATTGTTTACTTGATCAAGTTCCAGATAAATAACAAAAGTCGACCTCCTTCCCCCACTGTTCCTATGTCTGATCTTGACATACACATACTGCTATAGACCCGCCACAGTCCCGCGCTCCCCTTATCGCATGTCCAGCACTGAGCTGCTCATTCATCTGGCTGCTGTTCCTCTTCTCCTCTTTCTCTCCTGCCTCTCTGCATGCACACCTGATGCCTGCGAGCTGCCTGCCGCCTCCCCCTCAACTTTCAATTCCAAAACTGATCTTGCTGAATACAGCACTGCAGGGAGGCTCATTTAGCCTGCTGTGACGTCAGGGTTTCTGTCAGGGGACATGCACTTGTCAGTGAGTGTAAAAGAGGGGAGGGGGGGGAGGGAGAGAGGAAGAAAAGGAGCGAGGACAGAGAGGCTGTATAGTCCCTATTCTGTGTCTACATACAGAGGGCTATTGAGTGTAGATGCTGGAGTCTGAGCTGCAAGCTGATAGGAGGGGTGGAAAACAGCATAAAAAGAACAAATGCAGAAATCCAAAGCACAAAGCCTGTAATTGTACTAGTTGATCAAGACTGCTTTGTGTAGGTATTGTTTGAAATGCTTGTTTAGCAAGCTGTGTCTATATGTGTGGTCGGAGTGTACACTGTGCAGCTATTAAATATTTCAAAACAGATCAGATAATCAAACAAATACAGCTCAGATTGTCTCGTGACAATCCTGCACATGAGCTTAAATGATTTGTCTTGACTTAAAAAGGACTGATATTTCTCAGTAATCTTTTTCTGCAATTTATGCATTAAAGGTTATCAATATTTTCACTCTGGGACATGCACGTTACCATAAACACAACACACAGTATCCCGTGTTTATGAAACCACCCTTCTCAATGGTCTCTTGAGCAAGGCTGCACTGACATTTCAATGGTAGTAAAATTAACATTCTACCACAAGTGACGAGTCTATTTGGCTCTGTGCACCAGGATGTAGCAATATGTGGTCACAACGCCTCACCCAATACAGTACGCATGAAGTCTATCTCCCTCTACACTGAGGCCCTGATTCCTGGGAGGCACACTGGATCTGCACTGCTCATCCCACACTCGTCATGCTCGGACACGACACTGTTGCTTTTGTTCAGCAGGGAGTGCCTGCATGCACCCAGAGTGCCAGGCCGAGACCCGAACTGGGTGGGCATGTGTGGAATGTAGATCTGGGTGTAAAAGGAGGGGTGAGAGGGGGCAGGAAGACTGAGGAGTGCGGGCCATGACTGGCCTGGCCTTTGGCCCATAAGATCACAACATCATCTCAGAAGGCAGAGGGCCTTGTGCTCCTTCGTCATCAACACCCACTGCTTAAGTGCGGACCAATCGGCACCGACGTCCGACCAACAGCAGCACAGTGACCTCAGACTCTGCTCACTGCACAGATGTGAACTCTTTGGCCTTGCAGTACATACTGTACTTTGACACTTTAAGCATCTCTTCTGATCTGTACACAGCTGTGGGGAGAGACAACTGAGGGCAGCTTATCTGATATAAAAAAGACTAAAAGCTTCCTTAAAGATAAACTAACCTCCTTGACTATGCCACCACCAGTTAGTCAGAAAATTCTTTCATTTGACTGGTGCTAGATCACAAGTATCAGGCTTAATACACTGTGTCTTTAATTTTAAATACAAAGTGTTTCAAGTACAGACTTTAAAATAAAATGAAAGATGACTTGTATAACAGAGAACAGTAGAGCAGAGTTCATACAAACAAAATGAGAGTTACTTTTAAGGCAATAATTACACAATTAGCCGATGAAACATCTTGCATTTCAGTTGGAACTTATGCAAAGGTCAATGCACCTAAATCATAGTGCATGTTTCTCACACACAGCGCTCTCCAGCACACTTAGAGGTTTTATAACATGTGAACCTGTAGTGCACTCTACACGCTAACTCATGAGGTTAAGTACAGAGTCAGTCTCAAGAGGACATCAGGGGAGTTATTTTCTGCTCTTCTTCTTCTTCTTCTGTGCTTTTTCAGCATCATCATGGGCCTTCCTCTTGGCAGCGAGCTTATTAGCCTGTAAGAGGAGAATGACAGCAGTTAATGAACGGATACTCAACACCAGGCGCACAAGCATTTTTGAGGTCAGTGAACATAAGGGGTCATCACTGGGTTTGTGTGTTCTCTACGCTGCAGCTACACAATACTGTTCCTTTCCTACATTCCTGACCTGAGATAAGTAGGACAGGTATTGATAATAAAAGATACAATGTTAAAAATGTAACAACGTTCCCTTTACACATAGCAAAGCAAATAATCTTATCTACACAAGAATCCAGACTCAGTCAACAACACAAAAATGAATCGAACCTCTCTGATTTTTCTTTTCTTTCCGAACATGATCTTGTCGTAGAGGTACTTCTCCTTCTTCTTCATCATCATGATGGCCAGACGTTTCTCCTCTGCTTTCTCCTCCTGCTCCTTGCGGGCTGGATTTTCTACCTTCACTTTTCCAGGCGTCACTTTGACTTGCAGAGACTAAAAGAAAGAAAGAGAGATGAGAAAATAAAGACTCCAAGAGTTTATAAAGCAGAGGATGTTTACAAACAGGAAGAAAACAGGATCAGAAATATCCTACCTTGCCCTGAGATCTTTGTTCTTCCATCTCCTTAAGGTTCTTCTCTTCAGCTTCTTCCTCATCATCTTCCTCTTCATCAGCATTGTCGTCGTCATCCTCCTCCTCTTCTTCTTCCTCCTCATCCTCCTCTTCCTCATTGTCTTCCTCCTGATCATTGGCTACAATAGAGGAAAAATTCATGGAAACAAAATTAGTGTTCCAGATATCTGAATCAGGTCCAGTTATGACCTAATATTCAACAACAAGGATTCTTAAGTATTAAATCGCTTGACCTAAATGTAATATTAATATCAAACAGCATAACCAATGTCACATGTATTCACCTCCTTTGACTGTGCTGCTCCAACAATCACAAGTCTTATCAAGGTGTGATCACTGACTAAATGTTCACTAAATCAATATTACCTTATATTGTTTAATCATAACCATAGAAAAATAAAAGTCTGTAACTTTTTAAAAACAGTTTATAAACACTAAGATATCGATGAATGTGTGCTTGATACGCACCCGTTGTTTCTCCTCGCTGTAAGGCCATAATCTTGAGTTTCTCTGGGGGCACGTAGTCACCCTCCCTCTCCTCCACGAAGGGAGAAAGGTGAGGAGGCAGAGTCACCCCAATGAAATAGTCCTCAACAGGCAAGAGTATTTTGGCATTGACACAGTCATACACCCACTGGGGCTGGATGTAGTACCTGAAAGAACAAGTAATAGATATAAAAATGGGCTCTTTATGACAGCAACTAAGTATTTATTTGAAATAATATATGAAATTATATTGACAATCTTGAGCTTTTGTGATAATTTCTCTTTGCTAAGAGAACAGCGGAATCAAGTGAATATTCATCTCAACGATCTTTTAAACAATGATGTCTAAAATGTGTACTCTGCTCACAGACAACTCCAATGCGTTTTCTAAACTAACAGCCAGCCAGCAGAGTGTGATTGAGACGTTTTGGTTTTACTTTTGAGGAGCCGTCATGCCGCCATACCGGCAGGGTGTGACCAAACTTGCTGGATGCTGTGGCAGGCAGTCTGGAGTAGAGGAGTGATATACACCAGACAGCAGACGGCCAAAACAAAAATAAAATGTCTAGAGCATAAGGTGAAGAGCTAGTCCATCGAAAAAGGTCAACATTTATTGTTTGGAAGGATTGTAGGAGGGTAAGCCATGTTAGGCAAGAACAAATCATAGGAACAGAGTGTATAAGACTTGTTTCAAATGCCTAAAAAAACACCACAAACCGCAGTGTGATGAAATCATGAAGGCCAAGAATCTATAACAGAAACATGAGGCAACGTGTCACCAAATCGCTCAATTTGAAAATGATAGCAGCGCTGTGTTGATTTAATGTTTGGTAAGTGGAGCAGGGGTGGCACAATAAAATATTCTGTAAGAGAAATTAATAAATAATTTTGATAAATATTCATGATTTTCATATTTATCATTATGGCTATATTCGTGCAGTCCTATTTATTAATGAAATATCTGAGGGAGTTGGCACGATCTGCCAAACAGGAAGAGGGAGAGACAAGGACTACTCTGAAAGGAGGTATTGTGAAGATATGGTAATGTGCAAGACTCTCAAACGGCAGACTTCCTGTATTTAAGATTCAGACATACACTGTAAATCTAGTTGGTTGTGTAATAAATGGTTTTCTCTGTGTTCAAAAAGCAAGAAGATGCTGAAAATGATGAACCCGACAGTATTCCTTTACCTGTTGATGTACTGTTTGTCGATGCTGGGTCTGTCAACTATGTGATGTGTGATAGTTTCATCTGTCACATCGTACGTGCTACCGATGCAGATAGACTTGTCCCAGGACACCTCACCACCAAAACACCTGGAAGGCAGCAGAAACATTAAAAAAAGAAAGAAAAAATGCATTAGTTTCAGATTTATATAAGTGTTTTCAGTGTCTTCTCTCACAGACTGTAAATAAAATATGGAGGTGATAACTGTGACATCACCCTCTGGTTTGTGGTTTTGCAGTTTTAGAGTTCAGCCATTGTTATGTTTGACTTTTGAACTAGACGTGAAAAAGGTTGGATCTGACTGAGAACTAATGAACAACATGTACAGTCATACTCTGGCAACTTGGTAATCACAAGGTAGCTATGTGCTAAAGTACATTCTGTTTAATTTTCTGTTTGTATCTAAATGGGACCATCATTTACAAGACGACCATCACGCTGCATTGACGGGTTTGAAACTAGTGATGTTTCAAGTGACAAGTAGAGTCACTTTATTCTAGACTTTCTCTCTATATACTTTTAGCAACCAGATTAGTCGCCCCCTGCTGACCATCAGAAAGAATGCAGGTTTAAGTAGCTTCTGCTTTAGCTTCACTTATCAGACCTGGAAGCTAAGCCCATCTTTTATCTACATATATCCTGCGGTTTCACTGCAGAGTCTCTTGATCACCTGATGACAAAAGCCAGCGACTCTCTGGGCACTTCTCTGTTGAGGAAGAACTTGAGTCCATGGAACATCTTTCTCTGGGCTTCTTGTTGTTTCTGTTCCTTTTCTCTAGCCTCCATCTTTTCCACGTCCTCCTGAAGAACAGCAATGAAAGAAAACATCTCAGTGCTTTGCCGTAAGTAAGCATGACATTTAACAT